CTGAGGAACGACAGAACCGGACAAACAGCACAAGCACGATTGCGCGAAGTCCAAGCACACACCTCCTATATATATGTTGATATATCGCATCCGCCAAAATGCGCCTATCCCGCATGTCGGCAATCTTCAGTGTCCGGATGGCTCATCGATTCGAGCCCCCCCATGGTATACGGGAAGTGTTTAATGTATAGGCTTGTTAAATGTATCGGAGTTTTCATACATGATTAATGTATGAAAGAATTTATGCATGAACTCCTCGTTGGTTTTAATTTTGAACCCCTGAATTTTTAACACATGATCCGCACGCGGAGCATGTATTAAAAACGGCACTGTAACCACAATGGGCCCACCAGTCCTCTCCTCTTCCAAAAACCGCCTTCTCTTCAGGACGGTTTACCTCTCCCACCCCCTCCCTCTGGGTCTGGGCGGGGAGGCTCGCGATCGGTCAGGGCACCCAGGATGGCTCCGAGGTGGCCTCCGATGCTCCAAGATGGCATCCGAAGCGGCCCAAGATCGCGGATGGACAGACCTCCCTTTAGTAAAACGTGGTTTAGTAAAAACGAACTCGGGCCCAAACCTGGAGGGCGCAAGCCTGGAAAACTGACGGCCGCGGCGCCCTCTCGAGAACCGAAAACGGACAATTCACTAATCGGCGTGTCAGGGTAGGACGTCTGTCCACCCCCGACAAGAAAGCCCAGAATAGTCCAAAATAGTTTTCGACATACCTCCGAAAGGCTCGACGAGGGCCACAAGGCGGTTCCAAGTGCTCTCGGAGCCCCCTCAAAACCCCCAAGAGGTCAATATCCTTCAAACGCCTGAGGACAATCATTGTGTGTTTGCCTTCTCGCCGTGACCTCCGGGGCTCCCAAGGGACCCCCAGGAGGGTTCAAAGAGGGCCCTTAATGGGCCCCAGGAGCTCCCAAAAGAGCCTCAATAGGAATCCAGGATCCTCCGAAAGAGCCCCACGAGGGCACCAAGAGGCGATGTTGATGGCTCTGTCCTCGTCCTCGTTGCCCTCCTCCTCCTCCTCCTCCTCCTCCTCCTCCTCCTCCTCCTCCGTGCCTCGTCGTATTCCTCTTCCTTGTCCTCATCTTCTTTGTCGTCAAGGTGGTGGTCGTCGTCGTCTTCCATTCTCTTGGGCAAGTTATTTGGCCTCGAGGACCCCAAGCGTCAGAGTCGTCGTCTTCCTCTTTCTCTTCCTCCACAGGGGCCCCGGGGATTGCCCGAGGAGGCCATCCAACGGCCGCCGCCTTGCTCCCGTAGATCTCTCTGTTCACCATTGCTGCCCGCTCTGTTTGACTGCATGTATCTTCGCGCCTTGTCCCGCCAGTTTTCATGGGAAGGGTTTTGAATGGCCTTGTTGGGGTACTCTTTTTTGACCAGCGGCCCGCAAGGAAAAGTCCAGAGGGCGTGAGTACCGAGGCTGGGGCACAGCGCAAGATAATTAGCGCGAGAACGCGCGGAGTGCACATGCAAGGACCAATTAAGGCCACGGCCGGCATAAGCCAGCGAGGAGTCGCCCTGACGGCGCCAACTCGCGAAGAAACAGACAAGCAGCCAGCCGCGAGGCACGCACAGCAGGCACCTGTGCAGCCGCAGAGGCCAAACCAGCCGAAGGCGGCGAGAGGCGGGCGAACGGAAACGCGAGCCAGGACCACACAACCATCAGCCACGGATCATGGCCTTTGTGGCTGATTCTCTTTCTCTCTCTCTCTCTCTCACTTGCTTGGGCGCCGAGGCGGCTTGCCCCTGGATTGTCATGAGCCGGATAAACCTGCGCTCCTGATATCAATACCCTGGTGATCACAAAGTTCGGGGTCCAGGAGGGATAATAAACATTTTCCTGGAGATCGCAACAAAATGATGAAGATAACGCAGGACATCCTTCGGAATGTCATAGGATTCCTTCGGAAATCCTTAGGAAGACGTAGGACATCCATAGGATTTCTTCGGACATCTATAGGACACTCTAAAAGGTTCCTTCGGAAATATATAGGAATTCCTGGGAACCCTTCGGAGTACATAGGAATCCTTGCTACTCAACAGGAGAAGAGAACAACTTCGATTCGCAACATTCCCCCGCGATTATCAAGTTCGGCCTTGCCGCCACTCTTCCCCGACACAATCTGCACTGGCGGGAGACAATCGACTCTCAGGTTTAAGGGGGGGGGGGTAACTGGTCATCTGGGGGATGCGGTTATCCGTCTAACCCCAAGAGATGTGCCCTGAAGCCCCACGCAATGCTTTCATGACTGGGCTTTTGAGGGCTGGCTGGGATCAGCTGGCAGATGCCTGGGAGTTCATGGTGGGGAGCCCATTCGGTCCTGAAGGCGCATTGGGAGCGCCCAGGGGCTTCGTGAGAGCTTTCCGAACGAGCTGCTTGGCAACTCTCTGGGAGATGCCCGGCAGCCGCCTGGAGCCCACGACCCTGGGAACCGCGGGGCTCCTCGCAACCGTGTCCTCGCTCGTGGGCCCAGAGCACCCGCGGCACTGCTCTTCGAAGTCGGCTTCCGGGGGCCAGCTCCGTCGGATCCCTGGGGCCGTCCGACAGAGACGAGACCTGAGGAGGAGGAGGAGGAGGAGGAGGAGGAGGAGGAGGAGGAGGAGGAGGAGGAGGGTGGACGGAGCAAGCCAGTCCGCCGGAGGTCTCGGGATGACCCCGGGGGCTCAAAACGGGAAACGCTGGGGGAGCCTGCACGGGGGGCTTCGCGCGGCCTCGCGGCTTGCGAGAGATACCCTGGTATCCCACAGCGTGGACCTGCGGAGGCACGGTGGAGGCCAGTCCACAAGAAAGCTTCCACAAGAAGCCCAGCCCTGAGACACCAGGAGCCTGTTTTTTTTAGATCCTGGCAAGTTTACTTGCATGGCCGGGAAGGGAGGGGCTGAGCCTGAAGCAAGCCCGGGGGGGGGGGGCGCGGAAATCACGCAAGTCGAAAGGCACTTGCACGCTAGTATTCGCTTGAAGAGGGGCGAGGGGGGGGGGGGGGGGGGCGAACGCCATGCAAGTAAACTTGCCCGAATCCAAAAACAAACAGGCTCCAGGTCGTGCATGGAGCGTCACGCTTGCCATTGAAAACGCATCGGAACCCACGAAACCTTAGGGCACCCTGGAGGCAAGCAGGGTGTTTCTTGGCATGGGTCTCCGCAGTATGGACCCCTACCAGGACCAGCTTTTCATCCCGAGTCCTTCTGGACGGCCCCGGGCCCGGCGAGGGCCCTCAGAAACTGAGAACCAACAAACAACTTCCGTCGCCACTTTTTCGCAGCGCGAGGCAAACTTGTCATGCGGGCCGATTTTCGCACTCCCCACCCCCCCCGGTAAGCTCTCGACAACGCGCACCTGCTGGGACCGAGACCTCCCAGAACCATGCCGGGCACAGGGAGACCTTTGAAAATACTCGCTGGTGGAGGCGTCGTGAGTGAAGGGGCCCTGGGACACACGAAAAAATAGGACCTAATAGCATGATTCTCAATATTTTCATATAGTTTCTCTGTTTTTTGTCTTCCCCCCCCACTTCCCATAGTTTCCCATATTTTCTTGGGGATCGACGATTCTTTGTTTCTGTGTTTTGTCCCCTCCTGAGTGCGAGGAGCGATAACAGACGCTAGCCGACGCTACCAGACCCCCAAAAGCGAACGGACGCCAGTCGACGCGAAAGACGGAACTGCGAGGGTATCCAAGGCTCCCATCCTCTGCTACCGAATGAGGGGGAACGCTAATCGACGGGGGGGGGACTGGCCCAGGAGGGAGGGCGCCGACCTGGAATCGGCGATACGCCGCCGATAGATCGGCGACAATACCCGACGGTTTGAGCAGGGACCGACCGTCCCGGCATTCCCATAGGCCTGCCACGAGAGGTTCTTGGAACCACGAAATGTTATTAGGACCAAGACGGTGTTCTTAGAACGTTCTCCCCCGATGTACTAAAACAAGACAGCCCCGGCCAGAAACGCTGTTGCAAGAACGCTTCATGGAAACCGCAAAAAAGTTGTGGATGCCATGACAAGCGCTGTAACTGTCCCGTGATTGAATCTAACATGTGCTTGACATGTCGAATGTTCTGAACATGTGTCATACATGTGTTTGACATGTTTAAAACATGTTTGAAGCATGTCCTAGACATCGGGCAACTATTTGGCAACATGCTTCCTCTCAAAGTTGGCTTCCACAGCGCAAGAAAATCTTAGAACATTCTTTGGTGGGCCTACAGGCACGCCAGGACGCTTCGCCACTGCTTGCGCGCTCCTGGGCTGGGCGGGGCCCCTGGAGCCCCGAACGGCGAGGCGTGGGCGATCGGAGGTCGAGGCTTCCCGCTCGGGGGGCCCGTGTCCCCGCTGACGCTGCCCCTGGGGACGGCTCGCGGTGTTCAGCTGCTTTCCTCGGCCTCGCCTCGTAGTAGGGAGTCGAACTCTGTACACCGACACTTATTCTGGCCCTGCACCAAAACTTGCGCCGGAGAGCGGATCCTGGCGTTTCAGGGACCCTTGTGAATAGAATTTCCGCTGTTTTCCAAGAGCAATGGGGCAGACAAATGTACATCACACCACCTCGGCGTCGTCCCTGACCTTCAAGAAATCCTGGGTATGATGAGCAACAGCCCGCCACTGGTAATGTGAATGTTCCAGCTTCCGACGTCTATCTCCCCTCTGGCGTTGTGATCCTCCAGGAACCCCTCGTGCCACGTCCCCAGACCTCCGTCGTCACGTCGCCTTCGCGACGCCGACCCCCAGGGGTGCCTGGACCCATTCCTCGGGGCCGGCTGTTCATCCTGAGTAATGGCGGCGAGCGATGGGAAATGAAAAGGCAAAGGCCTTGTCGGAGGGCGGCGGGGCTACTCAGAAGCTTCGCCTTCCTGAGAGGCTTTCTCTGTCATCGGGGACCGCCTGAAACACCTCTCGGAAGGCCAGGGGACTTCCAACGATGGGCCAATTCTCCACCAACCCCACCGCAGGTAGGACGGGGGAGAAGGGAGGATGGGGAGGTCCTCTTCCTCCTCCTC